ACCCTGAATGCCATCACGAAGCCGTTTATTTCAGAGCCAAGACAGCACAAATTTCACTCTGTGTGGCAAAGAACCCTTCCCCCTTCCCGAGCTTATAGCTATGGAGAAGGGGGGAGTTCATACCTACCAAACGGTGAGCACTGGGGCGGCATACTTATTTATTTATTTGTTGACCTTATTTATATGCCCAATGGGGACCCAAAGCCGCTCACATCGTTCTTCTCTGTTTTATCCTCACAACAACCCTGCTAGGTAGACAGATCGAGATGGTCAGCCGTGTTGGTGTTAAGTCCCTGTCTATAAGTCTGAACCTCACCTACCATTCCAGTGTATTTGAAAAAGTTTGCCTGGCACATGAAAGCTCGTGCCTTGAATAAACCTTGGTTGGTCTTAAAGGTGCTTCTGGACTCTAGAATTGTTCTGCTGCTAGGTATGTTAGGCTGAGAGTGTGTGACTGGCCCATGGTCACCAAGCAAACTTCGATGGTAGAGTGGGGATTCGAACCTGGGCCTCCCAGATACTAGTCCAGCACTTTAACAATTGCACCGCGCTGGCACACTTGGCCCCTTGGAAGTACAACTACAGGGGTGATCCTTGGCTGTTCTACTGAGCCTGGAGATAAGGGGGGTGGGGGGGACCCTCTCTGCCCATGCCCCGTGCTTTGGAGGTGCTTAGTGTCTCCCTGAAGATCTGCCCCACATAAGAGACGAGCCCCTCTTCCATCCTGGTGCAGGGGCAACTGCAGATTTATGGCTGGCTAGGCTACCCAGGTCATGAGACCCAGATCTCCTTGACTGCAGCAGAGGTGTTCCGTCTTGGGCCTTTGGACTGTGTCAGAGCATAGCAGGGCAGGCATGAGAATTACCCAGCTATTCACGGGTATACTTAGGACCCTGGCATAAATTTCCATGTAGGTGGCTCACAGACTGTTGCCCCGTTCGATAACTAGAAGAATATCTGTAACATTATTTTGTTTCCATTTGAGGTATGGATTTTTTAAAATTTTTGCTTTCTGACCTGGCATTTCAGTGTAGCGGCATTAAGTAGACCTCTTTGTGAAACTGGAAGGCTAGGATCTGAAAAGAGATCCGTGCTGCGTGACTTGAATTCAAATTCCGTGTTGGACTCGGGACTGATAGTTTCCCTCAGTGCATCCTTGTGAGAATAAAGGGAAGGGAAATGACCACAATGAATAGTGTTCTTCTTTGGAAAGCCCTCTCACAAGTTTTGTTGTTCAGTCGCACAGTCGAGTCCGACTCTTCACGGCCCCATGGACCAGATCACGCCAGGCCCTCCTGTCTTCCGCTGTCCTCTGAAGCTTGCTCAATTTCATGTCCGTTGCATCCATGACACTGTCTAACCATCTCATCCTTTGCCGTCCCCGTCTTCTTTGACCTTCAATCTTTCCCAGCATCAGGGTCTTCTCTCACAAGACGTGGCCTCAAAGCATCGTTCCAGGTCTGCCCTGCCTCCCGGGGGCAAAAGACCTTGAGGGATACACACGCTTGCTTCACTCCCCTTTGGGTCTAAGAGTGTGGGATGTGGTCACCAGTGAAGGACCCCCTCCATATGTCAGGGCTGGCCCTTGCCCCCAGGCCGCCTGTTTGATTCCTCTGTAGAAAATTCCTGAAGAAGATCTGACACAGAGGCAGTCCTAGTTCCTATAACCATACTCTGATTGGGCTGCAGTGGGATACGTGCCCAAGGGAATTCCAGAGCGGTAGCTGTGTTAGTCTGTTGTAGCAGAATAAGACGAAAGTCCCGAGGCATAAGTGTTTTCGTCTTTAAGGTGCTGCTGGACTTCCGATTTGTTCCCTTACCCCGCCGGCACCTTAAAAGAAGAACAGTGTTTATTCCAGCGTGAGGTTTCCCGAGTCAGAACTCATGGCTTCAGGTGCCCAAGGCGGGGGGGGGGG